TTGCGTCTTCCTCACCGCAAATGCCAAGCTGATTATGAAACATGATGACAGATCAATTTGCTGCAAGATTATCACTAGGCCTCGCTCATGATGAGACACGAAGCCACATCAGTCACTGGAAACACCTGTTTGGGTCACGCGGCCCATCCCAGTATTGGGGACTTTCCCAAAGGCCCTTGGCTTCTCTTTGTGGCTTGTGGGTGACTCAGCCCGTGCCACTTGCTCCTCCTAGAATCTTCACCTTGTCTTCCTCAGATTCCAAGGGCTATGCTGCCAGGGCCCGTGTGGGTGGCCGTGTCAGGGGCAGCGAGTGTGGCTGAGCTCCCTGCGCTCCTCACTGCCCATGCATACGATGTGTGCGGGCTCTGTGGCCTGACTCCCTGAAGGACGAGTCTGCATATTTCTGTGACAGCAGGGAATCTTTCCCAGGGTGGATGCTGCCCGAGATAGACAATTGAAATTAGTCAAAGAAAAGGATTTGATGGCAAATAAATATAGAGCACCATGTTTCAACTTATTTAAGCAGCAGTTTTCAATTACAGGACTTCTGAGGACATTTGGTTTGCTAATGTGTGTTCTAAGTCTCCTAGTCTGAGTGATACTGACTTGTCCTTTATCGCAGGAGCAGCTTGTAGACTAGTATGCAGAAGGAAATGCCATCCATGTCATTAAGTGACGGAAGGAAGGACATAGCAGATGGCCAAGAGGGTCAGACTTTCCCTTCCAGGCCCCTAGGAGGGACAGGCTTGGAACTCCCGTGCCCAGCACCGGGACACAGCTGAGGGCGAGACAGCGGTAGTCAGGGTCCTGCGCATCCGCCAGATGCCCTGTGCATCCGCCAGGTGCCCTGCACCCTGCACCTCCTCAGGCTTCCTGGGGTGGAGGCTCCCTGACTCATTTCACACAGAGACAGAAAACACATTTGTGTGGGTGATGTTGTGACTGCTTATACGAATAAAAGGCTTTAAGCTTTTTCTCTCTCCCTCTTCAATTACTAAAGACAAACATGTCTTGTGGGAAAAATTCCTTTCCAGGCACATAGGCTCAACAGTGGACCTTCTCTTCATGGATGCCCCTGCAGCCTCTGTTCTACCCCACAGGGGTTCTGGAGTCAGAAGCAGGGCCGCATCAGACGGACTGGGTTCCAATCCCAGCTCAGCTTCGCATCCTCAGACACTAGGCCTTGCGTAAAGGCCCGGATGAGTACTAAACTAGAGGCACAGGAAACCCTCAGCCCTACACTGGCACCTCATTGGATTCAGTTAAATTTGACTTGGGATTTTCTTCTAGGATCCACTTTTTTTTTTTCAGTACTGGGTATTGAATTCAGGACCCTGCACTTGCCAGGCAAGTGCTTATTCTACTGAGCTACCTCCCCGGCCCCTAGGATCCACTTTTTTTATAAAAAAAAAGACGTGATCTTGCTTTGTGGCCCAGTCTAGTCACAAATCTGCCATCCTCCTTCAGCTTCTTGGCACTGATATGGCGGGCACGTATCACAATACTTAATCTGGGCTCTTTAAAAAAAAGTTGGATTTCATGCAATGACTGTACCAAGTACAGAGTGGGGCCCATTTGCGTGATTTGTTTTAAGTCCTCCAGAACAATTTTTATATGTAGAAATCACTACTTAGAGGTCACTTTATTTTCAAATTAATATTCAAATTATCAAAGTTAATTTTTTTTTAATGGATTTGCTAACTCTCTTGATCCTATAGGGTAGCTTTAAACATTTGAAAACATTTGAAACTTTTTTATAAATGTAATGCCTTACTTCTTTTTTAAAGTTTTTTAGTTGTCTTAGCAACAAAAATGTCACCTTTTTGTTTTGCTGAATATTTTTAAGGCTAATAAATTAATCTTACAAAATACTGCTAACCTAAAGTCCTTAAAAATGTTTCACAGCTATGTTTTCCAGATGTGATGGCACACACCGTAATTCCAGCACTTGGGAGGCTGAGGCAGGAGGATTGCTGTGAGTTTTAAGGCCAGCCTGGGCTACAAAGTAAGTTTGTGGCCATCCTGAACTACGTATCAAGACCCAATATCAAAAACAAACAAACAAAAAACTGTATGTTCATTTGATAAGGCTGAACTTAAAGTCTTGAATCTAAGTCCACAGATCCACCTAACTGCACATTTTATGTTGCCATTAAAAGATTGTCAGCCTAACGGGCCTAAAATCTCTCAGGTGGTCCAGATTCATAAACTTCCACAGGTGAATAGAGTCCATCTTTAAATACCAAAACAAACTTTTACTGTAGTTGCATCTCGTAAGTATTAAGTAGTTCCTAATCCTGCTCTGTTGGGGGACTGGTGAGATGGCTCAGTGGTCTAAAGCACGTTCTTAGAACAAGCTTAGCAAAGCACAGGGACCACGGTTCAATCCCCCAGCCCCACATGCCAGCCAGCCCC